AAATACCTTATTAATTTCCAAGGGAGAAGCCAAGAGAAGCTCAACTCTATCCTAAGAAATGATTAAGGCTGACTTAAAAAAAAAATTAGCTGCTGCTAGACACCAACGTCGTTTTGTCCATTTCTGACTCCTCAAAGGCTAAAAAAAAGTACCTGACATATATCCATGTTTTGCAAATCAAAGTAAAACATGTTAAAATTCATCTTGCAGGCTAGCACACTCACATCTGACACAGCTCTCTGCTTTTTACAAGACATTTCTTGATGCTCAGGAACCAAGCAAGTTTCCTTTTTTAGATATCTAAAACAATATTTATTCCATGTGTTTTCTAGCATTCAAGATTTTTCACTATTTTATCAACTTTATGTACTCTACCAAGAAAACTGAAGTCATTAGGTTCATAGTATCTTTTTAATGTTATAGCCGTCCTTATTTTTTCTCTCTCATTCTGCTAGAAATACCTCTATGACTTTTTGTTTGTTTTTTGTTTTTTTTTTTTTTTAGATAGGAGTCTCCCTCTTTCTCCCAGGCTGGAGTGCAGTGGCGTAATCTCGGCTCTCTGCAATGTCCGTCTCCTGGGTTCAAGCAATTCTGTCTCAGCCTCCCGAGTAGCTGGGACTACAGTCACATGCCACCATGGCAGGCTAATTTTTTTTATTTTTAGTAGAGACGGGGTTTCACCATATTGGCCAGGCTGATCTCAAACTCCTGATCTCAGGTGCTACTCGCCTCGGCCTCCCAAAGTGCTGGAATTACAGGCATAAGCCACCGCCCCTGTCCTCTACTTTAAAAAAAAAAAAAAAACTTCCCCATCTGTACTTTTTGGTAGACTTATCCAGCAATTCATTTTCGAACAGGGCCAGCTTCTCTAATATAGTGTAAATGGCTGGTATGGGGTCGGGGTGGGGTATTTCCTCACAGGAAAATACATAAAGACGTGCCAAAAGGACCACTTTGGAAGAAAGCACCTTCCCTTCCCTGAATTGCACCCTTTCCTCAGTTCTTAATCAGCTCACTATTGAGAATTTTCAGTGTTTTCTTTCCCACACTAATGCTTTTCATCTGCCAGTAATTAAGACACATAGCTCACCTTAGCAGTAACAATAAATGAATAAATAAATAAATCAGTCTTGCTGCCACATCTTTCTGCAATCTCAACTTTCTTTTAAAACAAAGCTCCCTTAAGAGACCCTTCTGGTATCTTACACTATTCTCTTCTGCATCCTTCTTTCCAGCACTTCTTTCTCAACACTGCTTTTTCAAAGCTCACTAATGTCCTCCTAATCACTATACCCAAAGACATCTGCTACATGTTTTATTTTCTTGAACCTTGGTCTGGGATCTCATTCCTCTCTTTGGTGTAACTACTTTCAGTTCTGAATCATTTCTCCTCCACCTGGTCTCTAGTAAGACCATGCCTGCTCATTAACTCCCTCCTCAGCTTGCTTCTAGCCCTTACAGTGTATTTTCCAAGAATCAGACTTTTATCTGTTTTTTCTTTTAATATCCTTCTGCGAGTCTATCTACTGGTGGAGCTTAATTATCAGCTGTATGATTACCATTCCCAAACTGAAACCTTTTGTTCTACTCAGGCTTCGAGTGTTTATCTGAAACTTCATTTTGGAGTTGTCAACTTCACTTGTCACTTAACACTTGTAACACTGAACTCATATTCTTCCACTTAAACTGTTCTGTGTTAATAGCCCTAATTCTTATAGTACTCAGTTTCAAACTCTTCACCCTGCTAACTTCCTCTGCCTACCTAGTCAATAAAGTATAGCATTCTCCAGATCAAACAGTAATTGCTATAGCAATTACCATCCAACAACTGTTTATACAAAAGTTAATTAAAAAATTCACATGTATTCAAATGTGTCCCACACTCTTCTCAGTGCAGACATTTACCAAAGCTTTTTCATCCGTCTTTTCCTCTGTACTTTTGAAAGCTTACCCATCCTTAAAGCCACATCTCAGACATCACCAGTTCTCAGAGTTATTTCCTAATCTACTAGGGAAAAAGAAATAATCTTCCACCTAAATCCTACCTCACTTTGTGTACATGAAGTCTTTTTTTTTTTTTTTAATGGAGTCTTGCTCTGTTGCCCAGGCTGGAGTGCAGTGGTGTGATCTTGACTCACTGCAACCTACGCCTCCCTGGTTCAAGCAATTCTCCTGCCTCAACCTAACGAGTAGCTGGGATTACAGGCACCCATCACCATGCCCGGCTAATTATTATTATTATGATTTTTAATTTTAGTTTGTATTTTTAATAGAGACAGGGTTTCACCATGTTGAACAGGCTGGTCTGGAACTCCTAACTGCTGGTGATCCGCCTGCCTTGGCCTCCCAATGTATATATACAGTCTATATGTCACTTGATGGGGATTTTGTTGTGGGAACATCATAGAGTATATTTACACAAACCAGATGGTGTAGCCTTTTACATACCTAGGATATATGCTATAGTCTATTGCCCCTAGGCTATAAATCTGTGCAGCATGTTACTGTACCGAATACTGTAGGCAATTGTAACAAATGATATTTGTGTATCTAAACATATAAAACGCATAATAAAAACATGGTATTATAATCTTATGTGACCACCATCATATATATTGTCATTTACAGATATGTCGACATATACTACATATCATATGTAATGCTGCATCTGCCGGATTGCCTTATATGTGAATTATATACACGAATATTGCTCTAATTTCCAACCATAATTTGTGAGCTCTTGAAAAGCAATAACCTTGTCTTTCAAGTTTTTTTCAGTTAGACCGACTACAGTGCTATACACATAGCAACTACTTAGAAACCAGTTCTAAATTAACAAGACGGAATTTGAGCAAGGCTTTGGAGTAAACTATTAAGAGGTCTGTGTTCAAGTGCAACCTGTCTGAAATTTCCTTTGAAAAGGTAGAAGGCTTTAGACACATTGACCAAGAAGGTAACAGCAACAGCAGAAGGGAGCAATGATCCAAAACATAACACATTATTGTTGTTATTTTGCCAGTAGAGAATTGGAAGCACATAAAAGGGTATTACTTAAGGCGTAATTTATCTACCTGAAATTTCCAAAATCCTTGGAAATTCTCTTTCTTTTTAATGTTTTTTGTCATGGTTCTTACTGTTCTTATCTTTTGGTGTGTTGTGTTTGCTTTTTATTTGGCAGTTTTCATCTGAGTTGAGGAATCAAAATGAGACAAAGGTATACTATATTTAGAGTAGCTATTTTGCTGGTTAAGAGATCCAAGAAAGATTTGATGTTTATAATGGTAATTCATGCAAGCCTATTTTAAAGCTTTTGCTTTTCAGAGCCACCTTAGGCTTTCAAATATAATCAAACTTTATTTATAAAAATAGTTTATGTTTATATGTGGAATTCTCACATTTTCCAGCTATATGCAATATTAGGAATTTTAAAAATTTTGTTCTTTTTATGCTGAAAGTTAACAAAAGCAGTACTGTACAATCGTGAGGTTTTTTTTTTTTTGTCAGTTTATATTGACATAGTGACCTATCTAAACCTGAAGATAAATTATACCAAAGTAAGCAAAATAGAGAGTAAATGATATATATTTTAAACAATAATTTTCTACATATAATACTGCATTGCTTTGAAAGAACATGTCCTCAACAACTTGCTTGATATTCAGGACATTCTGAATATCAAAATGTTTTGGGGGCAATCATCAGAAACTATGGACCTTCTTACCTACACTCATCTGTACTTTTTTATTGGTTTAGAATCACAAAGAATTTACTGTATGTTAATTTAATCCCTTTATGACTGACCTTGCAGCAAATTCTTTTAAAAATTTTATAGATGTATCCAGAGGGAGAGTTTTCAGAGAAAATGAAAGGGAGGTGAGAGTGAAGGAAAGAAAGCAAGGCATAAATTCTTTGGGATGATCCTAATTTAATTGGTTTACACTATTTACTCATCAAATTGATAATGGACAGAAATAAAATCAGTCATTAAAATGTGAACTAAAACAATTGATTGACTTGGTTTTATTTTCCTAGTGACCTAAATTAAATAGAGTTATTCATACAAGTTTAATGACAACATAAGAACATATCAGCTTTGTAAAACACTTGAGAGAATCCCCCACTTCCCAATGAACTTTCATTTACAGTATTGCATATTCAACTGTCTTTTGTAAATTATATTTTTTTAGCAGCAAATACAAAATGTGTGCAACAGAAGCAAAAATTTCCACCCACTTAATTTTTATTTTGCATGTTTGCAGTCAGGTAAACATAGGCTGCCGTGAGAGAAATTATTTTTATATTTCTTCACAAAGTGCTCTAGGAGGAGAAATAATTTTCTTAGTGTAAAGCTCAGCCTTTATTCAGTCAGGGAAAGTAATTATGGAAGCAAAACAAATCCACATTGTCTAATTAGGTCATTAAAAAGCAAAAATGCGTCATGGAAGCTTTTCTCCTTGCCTAAGACATAAAGTAAGACAATGAAAACAGTCTGGCAATATAGAAAGATTTAGAATTTGTTTCTTTTCAAAAATAATAGGTCCTTTCATCTTTCTGTTTCCCTCAGATGAAGACAGTTAATTTAGAGACAAAATCTTCTAATTAGTTCAGAGTTTAGTCTGATTATATTTCAAAATATTTAACCAAAAACAGGAAGCTGAAGAAAAAAAGAAAATACATGGAAAAAGTGTCAAAGGAAATGAACAGAATAAAGAGAGTGGGTTGCTGATCAAAATGTATTCTGCAGAGACAAGATGAATATAAAATCTATATTCATATAAACACAACCAATCTGGGATACCAGAAAGCTCTTAAGAGGAATATCCTGGCATCTGCCTTTGGGATTTGAAATCCAGACTTTAATCATAGTTAACTTAAATAAAAACAAATGGCATGGTTATTTTACATCTTCCTCTCTCTACATTTTATTATCTCTTGAGTTTTAGAAAACTCATGGCTGAATAAGAAACGAAACATGAAAAAGAAAAGGAAAAGAAACTTACCTGTGATCCTCTTGGCCCTCGTTTGTGGTCCCATTCTGAATGTCCCATGAGCTGTAAAGATGATAACTGTAATAAGTTAAATGATTATTTTACCTGACAAACATTTTTCCTCTTTCTTTTAAAGAATAATCAGATTGTTCCAATCTATATTAGTAATACATTAAATAGCTACTCTGAATAAATTAACATACCTAAATTAGTAGTAAACTCCTGGTTGGTTTGATAGCTAATATTTTAACTTCTAATCATTTTGAGAGTATTTTAATATCACTGTGTGATAAAAGAAGTTAAATATATAGCTCTGTCAGGAATATCCTAGATAGATGTCAAACCACATAAAGCTTTATTTGCATATTAAGCCTTTAGCTTAAGAAAATATTCTGGGTAATTAACTACTGTAGTTTAATCTACTGCCACAAATGATAAAAACCAAAGGCCAAATTAGTTCAAAAATTTTTAATTCTTCTTCAAAACTATAAAAATCTTAAGAGCATTAAAGAGTGAAATTACTAAATATTTAATGTGAATGCTCACAATCACAAAATGTAGATTTTTAATAATAACCTATAAAATATTATCATGTTATTCCTATGGTGGCAATAGCCCTGAGCTAATTTGCTTACAAAGAAGAATATTTACTTATTGAAAAAAACAATTAACATTAAGAATATTAAGGAAATACAAGATACTGATTGAGAGAAATGAAACTCCATTCATCTGTCAGTAACCTCATCAATCATGAGTACCAACTGAAGAATTATTTACAACTAATAAGCTAACACACCAACAAGATGGACTATACATGAATTTATGTACATTATTAACATTCCTATAACAGCAATGACTAGTAGACTTAACAACAAACAACAGAGCTGTTCACAACAGCAACAAAAATAATATGCCTTTGAACATTATCAAGAAATATTTGATAATCATGTGCAGAAAATGGTTAAAATTTGCTGATGGACATATAGTGCTACTGGTAAAGAAGACTTAATTCTATAAACTACTGAGTGCTCAGTTCTACTCAAACAAATTTAACTATATTTCAGGTCTAATTAGATTTCAGTCAAAAGCTAATAGCATTTTTAATTCTAGAAAATCATAAATTTCATTAGAGAATATAAACATATATAACTAGTATGTCAGATGAGTGTAGAGATACAACGGAGACCATGAGAACTCATGATGTTATATAATGCAATGAAGTTTGCTAGGAGGGTACATTTAGGTGATCTCACCAAACTCAAAGAAAGTTAAAACTATGACAGATGATGGATGTTAATTTACTTGACCTTAGTGATTACTTTACATTGTAACTGTGCTTCAAAACATCATGTTGTACATCTCAAGTATATACAATAACAAAGAATCCATTAGAGGGCCAGCCGTGGTTGTTCATGTCTGTAATCCTAGCACTTTGGGAGGCTGAGGCAGGTGGATTATCTGAAGTGAGGAGTTCAAGATCAGATAGGCCAATCCTGCCTCCACTAAAAGTACAAAAATTCGACAGGTGTGGTGGTGTGCACCTGTAGCCCCAGCTCCTTGGGAGGCTGAGGCAGGGGAATTGTTTGAACCTGGGAGGCAGAGGTTGCATTGAACCAAGATCATGCCACTGCACTCAGCCTAAATAACAAAGTGAGACTCTCTCTAAAAAAAAAAAAAAAAAAATTGAATCCATTAGAAAATTTTACAAGTGATGAAAATACCTTTCTGGTTATCAAAATATATTATAAAACGTACCTTTCTGGTTATCAAAATATATTATAAAACGTACCTTTCTGGTTATCAAAATATATTATAAAACGTAACCAAATTTTGGGATAATGGTTTAGCATTCAAAATGTAAATGAATGAAATAGTTTGAAATAAATATACATATGTGTACCAACAAAGCATAAAAAAGAAAATATCAAAAATATTTTGTATTTGATATATTTAGCTAATGACAAAAAGGAGTTCATGACCAGCCTGGCCAACATGGTGAAACCCCTTCTTTACTAATAATACAAAAATTATTATTTGGGCATGGTGGGGCATGCCTGTAATCCCAGAACTTGGGGGCTGAGGCAGGAGAATCGCTTGAACCCAAGAGGCCAAGACTGTGCTGCTGCACTCCAATCTGGGGGACAGAGTGAGACCCTGTCTCAAAAAAGAAAAAGGGACTTTTGGGAGAAAAATAATAATTACAGCCTAAACTTATAACAAATGCTAGTATTAATTATAGATTTAAAAGAAATTTTTAAAAAGATAAAACTGTAAATACAAAATAGAATAAAATCCAGGTAAATACTCAACCTATCTTGGAAAATAAAGAAATTTAAAGAAATCTAAATCTTTAAAAATTTTTTTTTTTATTACAAAAGAGGACAAATTGATTTGGCTATATAAAACTTTAGAGTATTTGCACAAATGTCACATTGGTAAAATATCTGCAGTAAATGGTATGTAAATAATAATATTTTCAGAATATTAAGGTTCTTACAAATTTGAAAGATGTTACATAATGCACTGAAGCTTGCTAGGGGTAAATTGAAAGAACCATAGTAGTAAATTGAGGGAAAAGTAAGAACAATTTATATAATAAATAAATCTATGGAAAGATACTTAACTTCATTGGAAGTAAAAGAAATTCAGTATAAAGAATGACAAGATGCTACTATTGCCTATTATGTTAGCAAATTAATAATGTTGAATATTTGGAAAAGAGGGAGTAAACTAAGCATATATACCTCTAGTATATAACCAACATATACATATATACATTGTGTATATATATTTACACATATATAAAATATATATAATATATATGTTCTTAAAAGTTCATACTCTTTGAACCAGTAAACTAAGATATAAAAATTCAGTAAGTATAATGTGCTACTAATTATATATCCAACAAAATGGAAATTACTCAACAGATTACAGTATACAAAATAATGCCAGACAGCAATTAAAATTTGGTTTCCAAGACTTTTATAAAAAAGATCATGTGAAATGTTCACAGTATAATAAGTAAAAAATACAACAAAGTAATTTAACAAATTTTAAGCTACTTCTTTTAAAAAGACATAATTATTTTGAGCCTTGGAATTATCATGATGATTTAATTGTAGTTTGGCTAGCATACAATTTTGGGTACATTGACCCAGATAATGATTATATAAAATTGAATGCTTACATAGTAGATATTTCTTTAATGCTTTAATTTTTAAATTTATGGATTCACTGATATCACATCATCTCAAAAATATTTATTGATACTAATTTAAATTTGATAATATGGTTCACAAATAATAAACTAATGAAATAAACAGTATGATTTAGAAACATTGAAAATCAGTTAATCAGTTGTTCTCTAGAACCATCAAAAACAATTCTTGAGACATTTATAATACCTTACATTAAAAACAGGAAGATGAGATGGTTCTTTTTGGCAGTCTTAAAGTGGCAATAAACTTGAACAGTAGGCTTCTAGTGAAATGATTTATCAAAATCTTCTGAAAGATTTACAAAAGTCTGACTATTAAAACTGTTATCCTCCTAATGAGTTTAAACTAACAAGATCAGAAAAAGGTGGTAATTTCTCCTATCACAGTAAAAAGTGGTAAATAAATCTTACAAGCACAAGTTGCAATCCACAATACATTGATTTAAGAGAGAATATTTGATGATGACAGTAAGTCAAAAAGGAAACATTTTTGCAGGACAAGAACTAAAATAAGTAAAGCATGTAATTCACTGTCTTCTGCCATTAATTATCTTAACGATGATGATTTTAGTCAAAGAACAAAAACACTCAAAATGTACACTAATTTGGGTCATCATTTACTCCGGAAGATAAGATCAGTTTGGTAATTTGTATATCAGAGATTGTAAGATGAAATTCTAAAAATTCACTACATTTGACATTTTCTTTTAAATCATGAAACAGTAAAATTTGCCAAGTGTGTTATGTATCAGAGAGTTATCTCCTAGCATTATATAACAAACTGAGAAATACGTAGAACAAAGAAATTCTTTTCTATTCTTAAATATTTATATATTAATATCATCTTCATATTACATTTGAAAGGTAGGAGCTGACCAAGAATGTGGATGTGGTAGTATTTTCAAATGTATACTATGGCTACTTTTTTCAAAGTAACAAAAAGTGTTACAGAAATCTATATCCTATGTGAAATATATTCAAAAGGGAATGAACTCTGCATGTGACAAATGAGATACTGTAATGTTCTACCATCAGTAGGTGCACCAAAGGAAATAAACAGGTTATTTTTCCTTTTGGATTTGAAGAAAGAATACAAAGTCTTTATCATTAAACTTCCATTTCTAATTAAAATAATCTGAGCCAAAATTTAGCATGTATTATTTCAGTGTATTTTCTGTCATTTTTCTTTTAACGTAAAGAAAGAGGCAATCGTGAGGATAGGGACTGCACAGTGTGTCAGGGCTCTATTTCTTCCTATGATTACAGCATTCTGGCCGCTAGATGGGGCATGGGGTGAAGAGTCGGAGGTATAAGGACAAACTTCATATTAACACATGATGGCATACGGATTTTTATCCTATATGTATAAAAAAATTTACTGTCATAAAAACATTGTCCTCAGATAACGGTTGAAAGACTAAAATAAGCAGCATATTGTCAGAATCCTTTAAAAAAAAAAAAACTACCCATAGTGTGAGAAACTGACTTAATATTACAGATTATTTAAAATAAAATGAGGCATCTGACTACTGGTAAGTGTTCGTGCTAAGCAGAACCACAGGGATAAATGTTTCACAAAGATATCTCCCTAGCCCTATTTCTTGATGTGTGATTACAAGTAAAAAATATTGGCTATTTACAATAAATAGTAAAGAAGACAGCTTGCACATTGAAGTCAATGAATTTCAGAATTAAATGCAAAATGATGTTGATATTATTTCAATGAGAAAGTCAAAGCATCCTTTCAATTAGATAAGATTAGTGCGAAGTTGCAGATGACCAAAGTAATCATTTGACGTTAACGGAATAGCAGATAAAAGATGTTAATAGGCCACAGACAATG